GAAATACATGGATGACAAGATCCACACAAGAGCTAAGCGAGGCTTCGGTAGGGGCTTGCTGTCTGTCTGGGCAGTACTGGGCTATACCTTCCCAGCATCTTTGTCTCTCCCTCCTCTATCTCCAGAGAACTGGATGCATTTAAATACCCTTGACAAGGTGCTACTTCAGGCATCCCTCGAAAGACTCAAGGCACCCCTTGATAGACTTGAGGTACTCATCGGTAAATGCCAGCTCTTAGTTTTCACTCATTTTTTATACAATAGAAAAATTATAGACCAATTCTTCTGTTGCAAAGCACTCAAAGACCCCAATAGGGCAGAATACTTTTAATACTATGGATTCTTATATGAAAACCCAAGGTTTATCTTGTGAACAGTGTTTGTAAACTTGACAGTACTACCATTGTTAAATCCCAATAGCTCCACTCTCAGCATGGAGCCACCGAGCAATAAAATCACGGAGCCAGAGGAAGCAGGAATGCCTCTTCCACCTGCGTGGTCTCCCTGCACTTAAATCCAGCCACTCTGCACTCTGACTATGGAGCCAAGGAACCATGCTTACCCTGCTTCATGGTTTTGCTCCACTGAAATCTCTCAAGCCAACTGCACTTCATGTGGCAGAGGGAAGGGGGAGAGAAATAGAGGCATGAGCAGAGGGGCTAGGAGCTATGCATCCTGGGATGCTGGAGGACTGCAAATTAAGAATTTAATTAACTCTTAATTTAATTAAGAGTAGACCAAAAAAACCCTGGAATGACCTGGGTAAGATGGAACAAAGATAACCCTGATTTCATTTGGCTTATCTTTAAAATATTTAGAGGGTACTTAAAATGGAATAACACTCTCTAATGGGTGCATGCTCCCATTTTAAGTGCCTTTATGATTGTTTAAAGGTAACCTGTAACAGTACACTTGGTTTTGTGACATTTCAAGACTAATGTCATGAACCTGGCTATTCCTACAGGGGTTCTACTATCTTAGGTCTAACTCTATATATAGCAACCACTTCTGTAAGAACTGACAAACACTTATATCAGGTCCAGAGCTCTGGGCATAAAATCTCTCTATTCTTAAAAATAGAAGGTGAGTATTTTGTGTGTGTGTGTGTGTCTTTCTAAGGTCCAAGCTTCCATAACAGTGCCTGTAAAACATTTTTATTTACTTTTTAAACCTTCTAAGCTGAAGTAAAAATGTTCTTCAGTTGAAAGAGTAAACTCATTTCTCTCATGTTTGACATGTATGAAAAAGACACGTTTTTAAACCCTTTTTTTCTGGTAGTGAGGGATTTAAAGTTTTGTAATTGGCATGCCGGTTTAACAGAACTTCACGTCCTGGGTTTCCAACCTCAGCCTTTCCTTTATTTGCATGCAGGTTTTGTATTTAATTTTCTTTAAAGGAGAAAGTCATATCTGAATACAAGTACCATTCTATATGAAGAGCTGACAAATTAGGTTGACCATCTATTACTTCATAATTTTAAGTTTCATTTTAACAGGATATTCTTTACAGCATAGATATGGGTTTAATAGATTTTGAAGGGCTAAACCATTAAATATTTCTCCTTTTAACATTGTGCCAGTTTAACATTATTGCAAGAGGTTTTTGTATTTGACTGAATGGGCTTAATGTTCCAAATATTCTTGAGACTTAAAGCAAATAATTCCATGCCTGTAGCATCACATTTATTTCATTACTTCTGAATAACAACACTGTCTGTATCCTTTGCCTTGGCTGTAAATACAGCTTTAGTGAACTTGGGCTATATAACATCTACTGTAGAAAAGTTAAAGGTGATATAAAGGATTCAGAAATGGCATAGCTCCAGATGCCTTGTGGAAACAGCTCCTATCCTTCTGAAACCAAAGAAGCTCAAGTAAAAGGAACAAGAGACATTTTTATTTATATTTCACGAGGGCTTATTTCTATCGTTGTGCAACAGGAAAAGGTCACATTACAACTTCAACTATACTATTGTATCTTTTCTCTCCACCCTCTGGCCATCACAAACAAATGGTATGCTTTTATTAAATAGATCCCTGCAGCCTCAGAGATTGAAGAGACTACCTTAGGTTGTATTCATTCCTGACAGGTCAATGCTGGATCACACAATTACCATCTGTCAAACCATCAAGGCCAGAGGAGAGTTCTGACATAGACATACAGTGAATACGTGGTGACCATCAGGTTCAGAACAGCATTTGGGTTGTGAATCTTTATTACTTCTGTGCTGACTGACCAAACTTCCTGAAAAGTGTGATGTTTGTTCAAAATGCAATATAGCAAAACTAAGTACTCATATATGCAAACAAAAAGTACAAATTGGTTTTAAATAGAGCGGTCACCTTCCAATTTCTTCTCTGTCAGATTGGTCACATCATGGGCATAAATCTGTAGACTTTTGTGCTGAAGTGGAATCATGTAATAAGAGTTGGTGTGCTCCAGCAGTGACAAGGAAGTCTCACTGGTGCTGTTATCACTTAAAAATGTGACCACAATAACACAGCAACAAGCAGTTTAACTTAGTTTCTGTCACTTGCTTGCTACAGAAATAATGGCTTATAGTTCACTACAAAATTTCATAGAAAATCAGTTTAGATCCACAAGAAGAGCCCCATGTTATCACTGTGCGCATCTACACAAGACGCTAAATGTGCAGTAGACTAATTCTATTGCGCATTAGCACATTACAGCAAACACCATGCTATTGCACTAATGCACGGTACAATTAGCCTACTGTTCATTAGTGTCACTAAAAAGGTGAGCACTAGCACTACTGTGCAGTAGCACCGGTTACTGTACATTGAGTTAGTACCTGTTATTACAGGTAGTAAACTCAATGCTCAGTAACTACAACGCATTAATGCACATGTAGATGTGCCCACTGCTTTTTATTTATTCTGTCCTGTAATAATCATAAATCATTATATCCCAAGGAAATACTGTCATTCATTATTAACTTAGTGAAATCAATGGAATCATAGAGTGCACGGTGCTCCTACATCTTCCGGCCTATCTAAGAGTGATGTAACGTTAAGCAGCTTGAGTCCTCCACATGCACAGTAGGTCAAGGTCCTGAAGGTTTGAGAGCCAGTGAACTGTCCATCTCTAAGAAGGTGCTGACCTAGTTACATATGTCAAGCATGCACAGTGAAGACCTAGGATTTTAGTGCCAAAAAGGTGACCACTATCTCCTGAGGTAAAGTGGACGATGGCTGGTCTGCAGTAGGAAGACAGATGTTTGTTTCAATGTGATGACTGACAGATGAACCCGTTGGATGAGCGGTTGAGTGACATGTGCCCAAGAGATATAATTGGACTGTGAACATGGTGTGATTTGGGGATATAAAAGGGCCTGAGCTCCACTCTGCCGTATGAGTGTGCGCGTCTGTGGGTTTTGTGTGAGGTGATGTGTGTCTGGGGTGAGACTTGAGAGCAGAATAGTGAGTTTGAGACTGTGTGAGATAGAGGGAGTTTTGTGAGCATCTAGTGCCTGTGATCCAATTAGAGCTGTATGTATCCTAGGTTCCCCGCTGATCAATTTGGGATTTGACCATAGATCAGGACCAGTGCCAGTAGTCCAACACTCTTGTGGTAAAGTATCACCTGTTCCCTAATTAAAAAAGAAAGAGTACCCTAGAGAAGGGGAAAATCTCCTGGGGAGATGGGAAATTTGCACGGTTATCATTGTAAGTATACAGCCCAAGAGCCTGTAACAGCTAAGCTCTCTGTGTAAGTATGTGCAATTTGCAATATTGTTTGGAGTACACAGACAGAGGCTCTGTAGTCTTTTTCTCTCTCTCATTGTTTTCTTACTCACCACTGTATATAATCTTACATATTAATCTTGTTATTGTCATCTGTTAATATTAATACATTGTTGTGGTTTCCAGTTAATTGAGTCTGTCCATTTGTACTAACTAGTGTGATGGGGTAACACTGGGCTGTAAGTGAACACCCTTCTTAGAGTCACCTGCCACCTTAAAAAACCCTTTCCCTGGGCTGAATTCTGAGTGGAGTAACACCCACATTTGTTTAATTAAGAGTTCAGTGTTTTAACAGAATACGTATTCAACACAGAAAATAGTATCTGAGCCTGGTTAAAGGCTGTTGTTCTAAAGCAGCTGTTTGATGTTGTCTTTTCCTTAACTACCGATATGTTTCAAGAGCTAGTGTCCAGATAAGTGACTACAGAAAAGTCATTAGTGACAATCAGTGAAACATTATAGCTTGGTCTATCAAGAAAAAGGTTACCATCATTTCGTACATTGTCCCTCTAAGCTACTCTAATGAGAATTCTGCCCCCTTCCTTGGATATCCTTTTTCACCGTTAGTGGAAGGACCCCCTTAGCAAAGAGTCTTATGCTCATTCTCTCTCTACTTTCACTCCCAGTACAGTAGCACTACTTAATATTGCCACAAATTATAATGCTACCCCATCTCACAGTGCTATTTAATTACATTTTAAGTGGATATTGTGATTTTAATGGGAGTTTGTCATTTATCAAAACCTAAGGCACTACACAGAAATGGAGTAGAAAAGATTTTGCACTAAACAGTCACTGAGCTGAGGAGAGAGACACAGAGAAAAGAACCCCCTTCCAAAGAACAAAATAGCTAGCTCTCCCTGGCCATGTCTACATGAGCTGCACAGTTATTAGTACTTGCATAATCAAGTACTTAATGACTGTGCAGTAATTGGCATTACTGCACAGTAGCATCCCTGCACATTTTTTTTGATGCTATTGCCTTGTGTAGACATGGCCCCTGGAAAGATAGGGAAACACCAATAAAGAATTTATAATTTATCTCGGTCTCTCTAGGTCTGGGATTGAATAGCCAAAGAAAGGTCAGTGTAATTACAATGAATCATTTTTTGTAGGTAGAATGAGAATAAAGGCACAAGATTAACACAACTGGGATTTATTTTAACCTGGAGTTCTAGCGTGACCATCAGAAACTCTCCCTCCATTTCTACTCAAGAACCTTGTCCAGCCACCTACCTGCAAACATTCAATCGCTTTAGAAAATAGACAGTAACATCCACGTAACATCCTCCCGAGTTAATTCTCTGGGGCAACTAGGAAAAAAAAGAAAATTGAGTGCTAATTAGCTAGTGTACTATATAAGAATAATGCTTCTATCAGATGAGTTGACTCTGGCTGTAAATAGTAAATGCATCATTTTTGTTAAGAGAGAAATGGATACAGCAATATAATTTACATGGGATTTGCACAAAGAATTAGAAACACTTTAAAAAGCAAATTGGCTGTTTTCTGGTAATCGTACAAAAATGAGATTGTAAAACTCTATTGCCATTTCCATGAATTCCTAAAGTGAGCCAAGATTAATGATAATGATACAATTTCCCAGGGAGCATTTATGCATCCTGAATAAGCATAAGCAAATTAAAGTTGCATTTTATAATACAGTGACTGTAATTACACTGTTGTTACACTTCAATTACACTGTAATCACATTGTGGTTATGTTTTTGATAACTAATTTTCATTAATTTATATAACTTGAATATTATATTGTACAGAACTACCACTACATGAGAAAAAAACTACCCTTTGTTTTCATGTTTGTATTTCTAGAATTCAGAATAGTACTTATATTTCCTCATATTCTTTTACTTTTAAACCAGGTATCATTACATGGTGAGAAATAGGAATTTCTCTGACTTAGGCACTTGAATATACCAAATCTAGGTCTGTGTCTTTTTCCATGGTCCTCATTATGGTGGCATGTTGGAGGGGAAAACAGCTGGAAGAAGCATAGATGACGCATACTCCAATCTGCTTACGAGGCATTATGTGAGTGGCAAACCTGAGAGCTGGCTGGGTCTCAGTTGTGATGGGATCAGGCCTAAGCCTAAGAAACATGCTGGTGTTATTCCCTCCATCTTTCTCCTCCTACTAAAGAATTAGGTTCCAAACCTTACATCCACCTAAATTGTCCTTGGAGCAGAACTCATGAAGACATGAGAGCAATAAAGATGGCTTTATAAAACTTTTGTGACTTCTTCTCCTGGAGCCAGCTGGGGATAGTTTTAAGAGCTGATGTAATTTAGAGTGTACTTAGGGCTACTCAGGGATCAGATTATCACCTAGATGCTGTTCTGGAAGCCAGTAACAGAATACATCATTCCTGATAGCCCTTTACCCATCAGGTTTTTAATAAGATGTAGACCATAGAAAAGATTTGCAGTTCTTTTGTTTTTTTTATCTTGCACATTTATGTGAGATAAGCTAATTAGCAATAGACCTGCTATATCCCACTCAAAATATTCTCCTAATTAATCAGAATAGAAATAGAATATGTAAATTTAGTTTCTGATTTGATTTCTTGTGTGTAAAATCTGCTATTCTCTTCCTGAGATGACACCTCCATTCCTTCTTCGGCAGACATGCCAACTTCTCCTGTTCCTAAAGTTTGAAGTTTCCTGTTCACCTGATAGGGAATAATTGCAATAATGTTTTCTGGAGGGACAAGATAACTGTTCTCCTCAGATGCCTTATGGCTATTATTCAAACATACTTTGTGTTCTCACAGTTCTGATTCTTCCTGTTGCTGTAATATTGTAGTCACCCCTCTATTAAGGTCTACTGCTATTTTTTAATCTTTCAATGATTTTAATTCCCCTAGATTTTTTTTAAACTCTAGATTAGTTTCATTTTAAACCTTGTAACTCTCTGAGAACTTTCTCAACTAAATGGTTTGATAAATATTTATGCAGGGAAGCAGTTCCATCTAAAATTCAAACCCTAAGCAGGGCATAGGCCTCAACTATGCCTCCTAGTCACAGGCCATTTAAAGTCAGAGCTCCCCAGGGAAAATGCTGGAAATTCTTGAATATGAAGCCACTGTGCACTTGCTACTATGCCCCTTATAGGTGCATCCTGGCTTTCTGCATTACGGGAGGGGAATATTGCCTTAATTTCTTTCTCTTTAGCAAAGGGATTATGGGCACAAAAGGTATTCACAAAGGTATTTAGATACTTAAGCCCTTCTTAGACACTTAAAATTAAGCCCTGCAATGGTTAGCATTCATTTCAGTCATAAATTAGGGGTCTAACTCCTCTGTGAAGGTCACACACCTGATATATGATGCATGTGGAGAGATAGGCAGACACCTAAGAACAACAGTGACAAATGCCAGAATGCTTAAACGATGCTGCCTTACCTGACAAATAAGAACGCCAGGGACGAGAATGCATCTTAAATCCCATCAGTCTCAAAGGAGTATTCTGTGCTGCAGGGAAGTACCGATTTCTTACTGGGACTCACAAACCTGAAGTAGCTGTTCAGGTTTGTTGCCTAAACCAACCTTTGTTTTTTACAAAACTCTGTGGTGCTGGTGTCCTCCTTTTAACCAACAATGCAGTGGTTAAAGAATTTGGCATTCATTGACCATATAGAGTGAGAGAGTGAGCATGACTGGCCTAATATTGATTAGATTACTATAAATTAAAGTGTGATTGTTTAATAAAAATAATGTATATAGTCATGAAAAGAGGGACTGGAATACAGGTCTCCACAGCAAGGTAACTGTCCTAACCATTATGGGTGAGAGACAGAGGAGCTGGGAGTCTGAGGGAGATGGGTAGGCACCCCCACCACCCACCCCTCAAATGTGGAATCAAAGAACTATAGAAAATTAGTGTTGGAAGGGACCTCAGGAGGTAATCTAGTCCAGCCCCCTGCTCAAAGCAGAATATTCCCCAGCTAGATCATTTCAGCCAGGGCTTTGCCTATCCTGGCCTAACACACCTCCAAGGATGGAGAGTATACCACCTCTATAGGTAACCTGTTCCAGTGGTTCACCACCCTCCCAGTGAGAAGGTTTCCCTAATATCCAACTTAAACCTCCCTTGCTGAAACTTGAGACCATTGCTCCTTGTTCTGTCACCCATCACTACTAAGAACAGTCTAGATCCATCCTCTATGGAACTACCCTTCAGGTAATTAAAGGCTGCTATCAAATCATCTCTCCATCTTCTCTTCTGCAGATGAAATATACCCAGTTTCCTCAGAAGTCATGCTCCCCAGCTCCCAAAACCATTTTCATTGCTCTCTGATGTACTCTCTCTAACTTGTCCACATCCATTCAGTGAGGGGCTCAAAACTGGGCACAGTACTTCACATGTGGTCTCACCAGTGCAGAAGAGAGTGGAATAATCACTTCTCTCAATCTGCTGGCAATGCTCCTACTGATGGAGCCCAGTATGTTGTTAGCCTTCTTGGCAACAAGGGCACACTGCTGACTCATATCCATCTTATTGTGTACTGTAACCCCCAGGTCCTTTTCTACAGAGCTGCTGCTTAGCCAGTGAGTTCCCAGGCTGTAGTGGTGCATGGGATCCTTTCATCCTAAGTGCAGGACTTTGTGCTTTTCCTTGTTGAACCTCATGAGATTTCTTTTGGCCCAATTCTCCAAATTATCTAGATCACTGAATCCTAGCCCTACAATCCAGTGCATCTACTATACCCCCTGGATTGGTGTCATCTGCAAACTTGCTGAGGGTGCAATCCATCCCATCTTCCAGACAGTTAATGAAGATATTGAACAGAACCAAGCCCAGGACCAACCCCTGAGGCACTCCACTTAGTGTCTGTCTTGCTGGCAACTAGTACTGAGCCACTGATTACTAAGCCTGACAATCCAGCCAGCTTTCTATACACCTTACAGTCCATTCATCCAACCCATATTTCCTCAGCTTGTTTTCAAGAATCCTGTGGGAGATGGTATCAAAAGCCTTGCTAAAGTCAAGGTATTTTACATCCACTGCTTTCCCCGCATCCACAGAGCCAGTTATGTCATAATAGAAGGCAATCAGGTTGGTCAGGCATGACTTGCCCTTGGTGAATCCATGCTGACTGGTGAATCCAAGGGCTCAGCTTAGCAGGAAATATTGGGTGGAAAGGGAAGATAGCATAGACAAGACAGGGAAGCAGGAGAGGCTGAAATTTTCTTTACTTGCTTCTCTGCCAAATGTGTATCAAAAGGAATCAGGCTGAGACCATAAACCCCAAACACCAATTTCATCAGGGAGACTATGAAATGACTATGTACCATTGTGTGCTTATAGAATGAAAATAATGTGACAAGATTAGGCCAACTGGGATTCATTTTAACTAAGAGTCCTATCATAACTACCAAAATCTCTCCCTTCTAATTATGGCACATGTACCAATGCATTGGCTACTCTTAGGGTACACAGGCACTTGTATACATACTCAGTCCTTTTCCTGGACTTAAGCGCAGGTATTAGTATACATATTCAGCAAATATGTATGCAAGTACCTGAGCTTAAGTCCAGGAAAAGGCCTACCTGTACTTTAGCCCCAGTAGTTAAGTGTTTACATACTTGCCCAGGAAGATAGAGACCCAGCATCTAGGTTCCCACCTAGAGAAGGTTTTGAACCTATACCTCTTTGACTTCCCAAGCACACAGGTATAATTACTATGCCATAGGCTGGGCCTGAGTTAATGATTCTTTTGAACCTGAGCCTTGCATTTGCTAGTTATTGGGTAACGTGGGTGGAAAGTAATGCAGAAACTTTTGCCTCAGTGACAGAAGGGGCCCAGGCCATACTCCCTGTCAGAGTAGCATTAACAGCCTTAGACCCAAATATATCCCTCTTGTGGTCATCCATATGGCCAGCTTCCAAAGTAGAGCTGGCAAGGGGGATGGATAATGCCTAATCCTTGGTATAGTGGTCACAGCAATATGCTGGCAGGTCTGAGGGAAACAGGTTAAAAAACCTCCGAAAGAAGACTGGAGGGAGTAGGGCTGAAACCTGGATCTCCAACTTCCTAGGCAAGTGCCTGAACCATGCAGCTTTTAGGGCTAAAAAAAATTGAAAGACTTCTGTCTTCCTTGCTCATCTAACACCTTTTAGTCATTGGTTTCTAGCCAGCTACATTTTTAGATCTTGGACACACAGATCCACAATGGGCATGCATATGTAACTGCATGCAAGCATAGTCAGTGCATAGCCTACTGAGCATACTCAGTCTACAAGCACATGCTTATGCAGGGGCAGTCAAAATACAGCCCACAGGCTGGATCTG